TTCATCTGGTCATAGTGACGCGGAGAACTGGTCGGAAGAAGATTGCAAAAAAGCATTGTATCAAGGAGAAATATTACTTCTGCGATACCGATACCAGGAGGCTGTTGATAAATTGGAGCTGTGCGTAAAGAACATGGACCGAATATATGGCGAAGGCAGCGACGCGTTGGGCGAGGCATATCTTTGCTATGGACAGGCTTTGCTGGGGGTGGAGCAGATGGATGAATCTCTTTTTCAAAAAGGCGAAGGTTCGTTGAGGATGAGGTTTCTGTCAACAAGGGTTTTCATAAATGAATTTTAATCCCGAGTAATATTTCACTCTGAAATTTTCAAGGTTGTTCTTTGAGTCGAAGTTTTTTTTTCTAACTTGAAGTCAATTAAGAATGAGATGACGGCTTTCATTTTGTCCTTCCTTCTGTCTCAAATGCAGCTTGTATTTATTCTCTTCATTTCAAAAAGATTTGACAGATTCATATCGAAAACAATGATTGAGAAAATTGTTCCCGGCAGCGATGAACTGAGGAAATTAACCACAAGATAGTGTTGAGTTACGTTGCTCTCAACAGTAATTATGCTGGTCGAAGTTTCGGAATGTTGCGGATTTGTTTCAAACCGGCTCAAAATTTTTGGAATACCACGCACGTTAAAATGAGATTTTGAACGTGGAAAATTATTCGATCGTACCGATGCAACCAGAGCCAATAGAGTGGAGTTACAATAACGTGAAACCTATGATACAAATCATTATTAACTAACTATTCAAATTATGTTTTCAGTGAATGGAATGGAAGAAGCAGCAGAGGAAGAAGATGATGATGATGAAGATGAGGACGACGAAGAAGAGGGCGAGGGAGAAGCTCAAGATCAGGATGAAGACGAAGGGAAAGAAGAAGTCGCTGATGGAGAGAAAATCGTGAATGGAGATGCTGCTGCCGCTGAGGAGCCCGAAAAAGTCACAAATGGGGATTCCACAGAAGAATCCAAGGAACCGAACGGCGAAGAAGTGACGACTGATTCTCCTGCTCCCGGTCCCAGTGGTGTCCAAAATACGGATGAAGCCGAGGAGCAGATAACGAATATGCAAGTGGCATGGGAAGTTACGGAAATGGCTCGGAATATATTTTTGGCGTAAGTATACAAGTTTTAGTCTGGATTTGGCGGTCTTTTGATGACATTGATGTAACGATATCTTGTGTTGTAACCTGTATGTGTACAGTCCGTGATCGTGATATATTTTGCCTATGGATTCTGCACATGTAGCTGTCGCACGAATCTTTTGTAGCCTCGGTTTAATTCAATTCATTGTATATGAAATTTAATGTAATTTCGAAATAACTTACGGATTATGTCAGGAGCGAGATGGATCCCACATATATCCGGCGTGTTGAAATTCTCATTTGTGCTGGAGTCGAATATATTGCAAGAAGGAATGGCGAAGCTCTCCGTAAGACTAGAACTGAACTGAGCTGTACGGGAGTAAACTTAATTTTCCTTCTCTGCAATTTCAGTCGGTCTGGGGATGATCCTGACAATTTGAAGAAGCTGGGACGAGCATATGCCACGCTCGCCGAAATAGCGGGGATTTCTCGCCAATTCGTTGAGAGCGCTGCCGACTTCCAGAGGGCGTTGGAAATCCTACAGAAGACGCAGAATTCATTGCGGGAACAAGCTGAAATGTGAGAAAGAATTTGGGATTTGCGAGTTCCATAATGTTCGAATCCAATACTTATTCACGTCGGAGTTCACATGCGCAGATTCATGAATACAGTATTTTGTCCATCATGGTGCCTGTATAAGTTGGTATTCTGAAACCTTAAGTTGCCTTATTTTTATTTTACTTGTATAAGCCTAAATTATTGTTCCTATTCCATTTTCAAAGCTCTCTAATACTCCACAAGAATATGCAAGTGCAGTACAGTGTAGGGTGTCTGAAAAGTCCCTGTGCTTTGATGTGCATCAGATCAACGATGAAAAGTACCCACACATGCGTTTAAATTTTTGGACAACCAAAATTAATTCATTTATCTAAGTAAAGTAAGAAAACAACCTCCGCTTGTCACCGTAGCACTGTGCATATGGACGCAAGAGGATTTCAGAAGAGCTAGGGCTTACAAATTGACATACTGTACTATTGTGACGGCTATAAATATCAAACGGTATGAAAACGGTTCGCTATTGTAAAAAGCTGTTTAGAAAGCTCTAACGTATGAATTTTTAACGGATCTCTTCACTGCGGCTTTTAAACACTCGAGATCCTCGTTAGAATTGAAACTCGGTCATCTTACTAACAATGCTCAATGGCTCTTCTTGTTCATCGTTGAGTTTACGCCATTTTTTCTAGATTGCCCGTGTTTATAGTACTGCATTTCTTTTACTTAGCACCATTATTGACGTACTACGTTTTATTCCCAGCTTATACCTTCGATCAAATGCGCTCGTGAGCTGTAATCGATTCGATGAAGCAGTTGAGGCCTTGCGTGGTGCGATGGATTTGCTGACGAAGCATCAAGATGATCTCAAAGAGGGTTCCCATCCTGACCGTACCGAGGAGGATATCAAGAAAGGTCCCGACTTTCTAAACATTTGAAGTTTCCAAAGTCCCACGAAGCTTGAATACAGTGCTGTATTATATTTTGAATCAATGCTTACATTTTAACAAGTTTCTTCATAAAATCATGCACGTGTGAGAAGCTGGCTAAAATACTGCTCAGTTTAAAAGTTAAATGTTGCTCCTTATTTGAAATATTGTTCTTCTACTAAACTATTATCGTTATGCCGCCATCCGAAATTTTCCTTACGAAATGGTTCGTTTTGCAATCCGTAGAAATCGACGAGATCAGCGAATTGAAGGCTCAGTTGTCCGAGAAATTCGGCGAAATTGAAATTGCCCGCGAGGACATCAACAAACTGAAGGAACAGAAGGAGAAATTGGCAAAGGTAGCTGCTGAAGGAAGTTCCAAGTCTCCGACGAAGCCAACTAGTAGTGGGTCTGGCGAACCTACCGAGAATGGCACTGAGAAAGCTGCAAAAGATATAAGCCACCTGATTCGACGAAAAGAAAAGGTTCGTAATAATTTTTTTTTTTTCGTTGCTTCAGCTTTCAGTGGAGGATTCCAGTGATTTTGCTCGCGCAAGTCTACTCGGCAAAATATTGTACACACTGCCAACCTTGATTTATAGAATGACAGGTTGGTGTCGCCTGAATCGCTGATGTTTCCACGAAAAAATTGAAATATCGTGAAGAAACGTTGTCCTTGAAAATATACTGTGTGTAAAAGTTTGAGCGACACCTTTTTAATGACGAAGAAGGATCCGCAATGAGATCGTCGGCTGAAGATAATGTGAATACTAGTTTAATTAATGGGAAAGGTTTTCCTCTACAACGGATTCATGGAACGAAATTTTTGTCGTCCGTCTGAGCATTAAATAAACACTTAATTCAATTTTTGAAGATTAATTCTTAGAATATTTTGTTGCCTTATCCGAATTTCGCGGTGATCCTAACTGATATAAATTCTCAATTTCCTTGCAGAGGCCAGACGTTGCGTCAGCAAATGAGGGCCCTGACCCGAAAAAGCGGAGAACTGACGATGCTGCGGAATCAGTTCCGGAAAGTTCATAGGGTTTTTTTCTGTATTTTTTCTTTTTTGAGAATTTACGACAAACTTGCGATTGTGCCGGCTGGTTGGTCTGATTCGGAGAAACGTTCCTTTCTGTCGTGCAAAACGGAAAAGTTGTTTAATTGAAAAATTTTGCTGGTCCCTGTAGAAGCGATAAATGGCCGTTTTTTTTTTTGTCGGGGAATTTCGGTCATCGCATCTCTGAATTCCAAAAAATTGTCCCGTGAAGTAAGAGTTTTCAATTCATGTCTGATTTTTGTGTGTACCGTTTTCTACTGAATTTCTGAGGTAAAATTTGAAAAAAAAAGTGCTGCCACCGTATTCTTGTGTCAATCAACTTTTTGTTCGTTTTTTGAAACTTCGATCTCGTCGAACAGTGCAAACTTCTGTGACTTGACTGGACTTGTGTTTCTTTGCATGCATCGCTGATGACGTTTTGTTTATTGCTCCCGTAGGAAGTTAATTACCAAGTAGATTGTTGAGACACCTCGTGTCCTTGAACTCATCAGCACCAAGCACCTGTTACGCTTCATGTCATCGTGCGCTCGAAGAATTTCCGCAATTTCGGCCAAAAAAAGTGAGCATTGCGTAAGTCGTTAGCGTATGAGTTTGTGCATCATCTAGACGTCAGTAAGGTAATGACTTTTTCCAATTTGAAAATCGTGAATTCGTTGCGTTAACATGAGTTCATTAGAAAGGAATTATGGTATCCTACTTTCCGCGGGGGTAGTGAAGTACTTGCCACTCAAGTGAAAAGTTAATCGGGTGTTGAAGGTTTAATTTTCATTTGAATTGGTGTATGCTTTGAGTGTTTTACTACGTAGTACAATGCGTGCGAAAGAATTCAGCAGGGGAACAGAACAAATTATTTATGAACTTGTAGAGAGGATTTCGTTGTAGAGAACCCGAATTTATGGGTAGATAATCTGATGGGACCAAACAAGATTTCGTACAGCGTAGATTCTTATGAGTCTACCTGTACTTTCGGTTTCTATAACAATAACGCACTTGATTTGACAGAGGGTCGATGTCATCGGGATTCATAATTCAATCTTAGTTTTACCCCCGCCCTCCTCAAGTTCCATTTGATTCTAGTTTCCTCCTGTTTTTACATAAGTATTGCTGCCGAGTTATTTTTTTCGGATATGATTTTTATGAAATGGTAAAAAAAAATATTTCTTGCGCTAGAATTTAGTTTTTCAAATCCTTCAAGAAATTTCGTTCCCCTCTGATGCTTGCGGTTTGCACCCGAAATTTTTAACGTTCTGCAATCGTTTTTATAATTTTTCACCCCACTTCCAATTTTTTTTATGAACGTCTCGGAGTGTAAGCGTGTGTTCAAGATAATCCTAATCGTTGTAGATCTCTACGTTCTCTCTAAAAAGAAACTGACTGCAGTCGTGATTTACGTATTATGTCGCAGAGTTCAGAATGAAGAACGGGAAACAATGAGGAAGGTAGCTATTGTGTGGTGCAACAAGAGCCCAAATTTTTTTTACCCTACTGACCCATGATGAGAGACGATCAATAGGGGTTATCAGACTATGATCACGTCGTGTTCGCAGCTCGTTAGTTTCCCTCGTGGCACTTCGTTTACCGGAAGAAGAAATATGGCGACCTTTCATCACAAATGGACGAATCAACGAGGAGATGGTTTGTATATATGAACATGTGCTGAGCAGACTTGCGCAAGTGTGCGTGGACATACAGTATATTCATTTCTGGTACCCGTGTTTGATTTGATTGGCCGCACTGGCGGGAAACGGGGCGAATCGAACAGAGAATTTCACGTCATCGTGGAGCGTGTCTCGTCATGGGTCACATGATGTCAAATTCCCACCCAGCGTGTGTAGTGGGTTGCTCGGCAAGGTCATCGTCGTCTCCACCTGATTCATCATATCCAGGAACTTCGTGAAAAAAACTGTATTGTACTGTGGTACGTGCCCCCTGATGTTAATGGCATAAAGAGTACCACGCGCACCTTTTTTTAAATCGAGAAGAAAATAGGGGTGCACGTCGATCATAGGCTCGTATAACGTTTAATCGTATAACGTTAAAAAAACATGTGGAGTAATTGAAGCTTTGGTAAACCTCATACTATAATTGATACCAACAGAGAATTTTTAACCAATTTTCTGACAATTTAACTGAATGGAATTAACAAAAAATCAACATTCAATTGGACTAAAATTAATAGTGGCAAAATTAAAATTTTTATGCATTTAAATTTTCAGTCTCTAAAAATGGTTTACTTGTCTCACATGAGGATAAATTTTTATCCATATTTTAGGCTGAAAACTGAGGCGCATGCCTTACTCCAGGGTGTGTGGTACTTGGGTAAATAGGGTATTTGCATTTCTTCATCTGTGTATTGCTGAGGCCGCAGATCTAATTTCTTTTGAAGAGGTTTTCTCATGTTTGAGAAATGACACAATTACTGTACCTCGATTTTTTGATACGCATTGAACATGACAATGAAGAACGGACGGACTTCTTTACAGATTTCTGGTCATAGTTTTTTTGTACCAGTACCTGCATATTAATCGAGACTGGACATTCCTTCTCTCATGTGGGTACTGCAAAAAAATACCCCGGTCAATCAATAATATGATGTATCCTCTCATATTTATGTATAATGGGATTATCTTTTTCATCTTTTTAATTATAAATAAAAATTCGATTTTCAACCACGTAAAAACGGGGGTGCGTGTCTCAGCATGCGGGGTTACAATTTTTGGCTGAATTTCATGCACAAAGAACTGAGGTGCACGTCATTATACAGCTCGAGGGCGTGTGGTACTCGAGTACAGTAAATTCAGTTGAAAAGGGCAAATAATGACTGCATGTGGGAATATCATGCAAGATTTGCCTCTGATGATGGGCCAGGGGGTACCATTTTGTCCAAAATTATTCTCTGGGGTAACTGTAGGCAAATTTAGCTTAAATTGTCCGACGAGATCGATGAAAACCGCAGTGGAAAATGAATCTTGTGAAACTCGGCTCGTAATTGGGAGATTTTATGCGATGCTATATTCAAATTCCATAAAAGCTGTCGACTGAATTACAATTTTTTATACAGTTCACTAGCTTTTGTGGAGAAATTCTTGTGCATATTACGGAAAATATCCACCTTTTCTTAGATTTTTCTTGCGGTTATCTAATCGGCGGTGATTTCTTATTTTTGGGCTCTCATCCATGAAAATAAGTTTGGAAATACAATTTGAGGAAGTATTCCTGTTGCCGTGGAAGTGCTGACGAATAATCTTCGAGCAAATTTATCCATACCAATTATTGCACAAATTTATTTTCTCGAAGAAATGTAAATCTCACAGAAGTCGCAGTCTCAAAAATGCCGTGTCCGATTCGGGATCCTTTTTTTTCGCAGCACCAATTTGTCATCGCACGATATTGCTGTGACAAATAAAAGCTGTCCAAATGTTTGAATAACCGGCTATAGTACAGTACAGTATAAATGATAGTATTTGAACAGCGAAGTGAAAACAATAAGTTACAGTACAGTATTTTATTTCATGGGACGCTAAGAAGGAACTCAACGCAAGAGCACACATTTTATTGAGAATATCGTAACACAACATTTTATGCATGTATAAAAGTTCGTTATTACTGGTATCCAGGATCTTTTTATGCATTTGCATTCGAAATATTTATCTCGTAGAACGGAATGCAACCGGCAAGTTTCTACATCAATTACTTCAAAAAAAAAGAAATCGCGCAATCAAAAATAACTTGATCGTCAAGGTCCTACAAATAAATAACATGGGATGTCAGAATTTATGTCTGCGTGCTAATATTCGATGAAGAAGTCTTTATCGTCCAAATAAATGCCTCGCACATTATTCACATGCTTCGCATCATTTTTGTGACATGGAGCTGAAAAAAAAGACTCTCTTCGGTGCACAGCAGTTTCCCCAATTCAATCACAATGAATTAATTAAAAATATTGTACAAGAAAAGTTGCTTATTTCTGCATGACATGATTTTTGAAGTCCGGAAATGTGAGTTCCATTTGTTTATAGGCACAGTTTTTCATTGTGACGGTCACACGACGGTTGACGTCGACGAAGGTCACATAAAAAAGTTGTCAACTTCCCCAAGTTTCCTGTCTCGACGATGACAACGACGTGTGACGAGAAATCCTTTGCATCTATAAATATTTTTCCTACTTCCCGTTTTTGACGTAGTTTTCAAGATTGATTTTCTGATTATTTCGCTATGAACAATGGTCTGGTGAATGTATAAGATCATATTTTACCTTTGTTATTATTATTTTTTTTTGCTGATTGACGAATTAGCCGATTTAGTACGTATTTATTTACGATGTTTGTAGACCTAGTTTCCCTTGGTTTAAAAAAAGGATACTGAAGTAAACTCATTCTTATCTTTCCGGGAATTGATGAAAGAAAATCCGGGAATTGATGAAAGAAAATCCGGGAATTGATGAAAGAAAATCCGGGAATTGATGAAAGAAAATCCGGGAAATGATAAATAAGAAAATTGAATAAACCTAGTCGAAAATATTTAAATTGCTTGCTGATATTTCCGAATCATATCCTAATGTGACATGTTTATGACATTTGTGAATGGATACAATTTTTAGTGATCAAAATATTTAAAAATAATTTTTGCTACATTTAAAGCAAAGCAGTTCGAAAAAAATCATTTTGTCCAAGGAATTTTAAAGATTTGAGTAGGCATGGTTGGATTTGCTGTATACCTTGAAATTTGTCTAAATGCCACCAAGCAATAACACGCACTGCAGTGGAATTAGTGTAGTTTATAACAAGATTTGAAAAAAAAAATCCTAGTTTATTTTTCGAGAATATCCTTTCTATATGACAGTTGCTACCCTGATTTGGGCATCCTCTTCTTTATGACAACCGATTGAAAATTGAAGGCGATATCAAATTCTAAAAATATACGCATCATTAACACAAAAGAGAAGAGTTCATAGAATTTTCTTCTGAGCCAAGATTTCAAATGCCTAGCTGTAGACGAACTAACCCCAAAATTAGCAATTATTTTTTTTTGGAGAGTTGTTTCACTTGGAATGCCTGCTAATAATTAGAAAAAAATCGAGGCCTATACCTGGCCGGTAAACTTTCTTCGCCTCCATTTCAGAAAAGGAGTGGAACATCAGTCAGGACATAATCAAATCTAAATTTAAGCATACATGCAGGTCTTATTTCCATCTTTCTTCTCATAGCCTAAATTCGATCGCATATGCGATGTGTATAAGGACTTACAAATTCAAAAAAAACGAGAAGAAAAAATGCCATAAAAATCGTGATGACCAACAATTTTCTAAAATTCTTCGCCCTTCGTTTATGTTTTCCCTTTGTAAAGATGCACAAGGATTTGCTTTGTGAGTTTGTTTTA